GAAACAGGCAAAATGACTGCACAGTAAAGACGCACAAACAACTATGTCCAAGCTTGAACGGGAATATATAAAAACATACTATGAGTATCAACCCAAATGAGAACACTTTGGACTCTCTAGAAGAAAGATAACTGAGGGAGAATTGGCAATTGGGGATTTCCCATAGGGAACTACTATCCGGAGACGCCACAGACATGAGAAGCAGAACCCTGAATCTCTGATCAGGGGGAGCCAGGCTAGTGCCTCAGAGGGAGGCTTCCTGCTCATTTAGCTCCTTTAAAAATCTTGGCACCCAGACGCCAGGAAGCTCTGCAGAGGGATACTTACTGCGGCTGCAGCAGTGTTTTTTTGCCCCAGCCCTGCTACAGCCATGGAGATATACTGAGACAACTCAGCTAGGCAGAGGAAACCAAATTGTGGGAAAAGACTGCAGCTTGGAACCAGGAGTGCCCAGACGGGAGGATACGCCCCAAATGTGTTGCCTTTCTTTGCCCCGCAGCCCCAATAAAGCCCTCGATATAAACTGAGACAACGCAGCTAGATGAGTGGATCCCAAGCTGCTGGGGGTTGGAGGGGAAGGAGCGGTGGTGGTGGTGGTGGTGGGGGGGCTCTACTTAGAGCCTGGGAAGTGGAGAAGAGGAACTGGCAATTGGGGCTCCTCTAGCCCTACCCACATTTCCTGCCCCCAAAACAGAGATCTGAGACTAGACAACTTTAGGGTGTGGTCAGTCCTGGTGCCATTCTTAAGGCGTGGCCAGCAAGAATCACTAAGCCCCTGAGTTAAAGGGGGGGGGGGGAACCGGTTAGACAGGACTCAACCATAGGCCCAACCCTAGGAAAATGCAACAACTTTAACAATCTTCCATGGGCACATTCAACATAGAGAGGCCCTAGGAAGTGACTCAAACGGGGAGACTCGCTAAGGGGTCTACCTGCTTACCACTTCTACCCACAGAAACTGCAGTAAAGCCCTGGAGTTAAAGAGTTAAAGAGATATGGCTGGGCTCTGTGAGAGGACCTCAGGCAGTGGGGAGGCACTGCTCAGGGAGGGACTGTTTGGAGTAGACACAAGGAGCCCTGAATGCTCAGAGGGAGGACTGGCAACCTGCTCAGCTGGGAGGATTGCAGCACCCTGGCACTCCCCTGCACTTCTGTGGGGTGGGGGAGATCCCACCCCCATAGCAGAGGCTTGAAGACTTGTGAGCTAGAAAGGCTCCCAGTACTTAGAAAGTAAACAAAGCCAGCCACCAACACAGCCACAGGCCTAGCTCCAAGGAGACCTACAACACTTCTAATACATCATACCTACCCACCACGAGCACACCAAACATAGAGGGAACCTGGGACATTCGAAGGCTACAAAGATCAACAGACACCTTCCAGAAACACAGATTCAACGTGTTACTAGAAGAGGCTGAACACCACAAGAGACCCCTGAGTGTAACCAGCTGAGACAACAGATACAATTACACACAGTGGGAGCTGGGAAAAACAACACACCTCAGAATACCCTCCACAACT